CGGTCGCTTTTACCTGACGACCGGTCGCTCATCATGTCAAAATTTGAAAAACGATTCTGTAAAAAACGACCGGTCGCCACTGTTCACGACCGGTCGCCACTGTTCACTGTTCACGGCACTGTTCACAGGTGATAAAGTGGTGATAAAATGGTGATAGAAAATGTTGTTTGTGTTTTTCTTTAGTTTTCTTGTGTTGTTTCATTTCTTTTACATTTCTTTACTTATTTTTAGTTTCCATTTTGCATTTGTGCATTTGTGGTGTGTCAATTAAGTGTTCTTTACGTACTCAAACTAGAACTTATAGGAAACCGACAAGTTCTTCGTGGGATCGACCCCGTACTTACATAATCTATACTTCGTAGATTCGTGCACTTGCGAGTATTTTTAATTGGTTGTTTGCACATTAATTTGTGTCCTCTTAGGAATGCAACAATGACATCTTGTTAGCCTGCACAAATCAGACCATGTTACATGACTGCAAGAATTTCCTATCTAAGAATTTCGAAATGACTGATCTAGGTGAGGCATCATATGTTTTGGGAATAGACATAAGCAGAGATCGAAAGAATGGAGTTCTAGGACTGTCTCAAAAGTCTTACACAGAAAAGGTGCTCAAGAGGTTTAATATGCAGAACTGTATAGGAAGTGACATTCCTATAGCAAAAGGGGACAAGCTGAGCACTGAGCAAGCACCCAAGACTGAACAAGAAAGGCTGGAGATGGTTGATAAACCATATGCTTCTCTCGTAGGAAGTTTGATGTATGCACAAGTCTCTACCAGACTTGACTTAGCTTTTGCAGTAAGCATGCTAGGAAGATTTCAGTCGAATCCAGGACAAGCACACTGGATTGCAGGGAAAAGAGTGTTGAGATACTTGCAAAGAACTAAAGATTACAAATTAGTCTTTAAAAGAAGTGACACACTTGAATTACAAGGTTATGCAGATGCAGATTTTGCAGGTTGTCAAGACACCTTGAAATCTACATCAGGTTATGTGTTCATGTTTGGAGAAGGTGCAGTGTCATGGAGAAGTGTGAAACAACCATTGACAACAGGTTCAACCATGTTTGCAGAATTCCTAGCTTGTTATGAACCTACCTCTCAAGCTATATGGTTAAGAAATTTCATTCTCAGCCTAAATGTGATTTCTATCCATAAACCTATTCAAATATGGAATGACAATAGTGCTATAGTTTTATTTACAAAAGGTAACAAAAGGACAAAAGGTTCAAGGTTGTTGGATGTTAAATTCATAATAGTAAAAGAAAAGATTGCTCAATGGTATACCAACATAAGCCACACTGGCACAGACAAGATGATTGCAGATCCACTTACAAAAGGGGATCCAAATGCAATTTTTCATAGGCATGTTCATAGCATGGGACTGAAGAATAATTTGGATGCTTAAAATAGTGGGAGCATTGTGAAGATTAAGCAGTTTCAGTTTTGTTATTGTTTTAAGTTCACAATTTAGTTTTGGTTTCAATGGAGGATGATCTTGTTTTGAGGTTCAAAAAAAGGAATTTATCTTTTCATTAAGCAATTATACGTTTAATGGTTGTGTATGTGTTTTAATACCTGAATGAAATAAAACAGAAAAGCTAGCTAAAGATATCTGTGCAGGTTTCATTCAAGACAGAATTGTCACTGCAACAAGTGATTAGACCTTGGCAGTCGAATTAAGGGACAATGAATGAATGTGTTCATAAAACTCTACAGTAGAACATGTTTGTTTTCTGTTTAATCTTGATGGAAGCTTATGTAGTTTTAAAGGATGTTAAATGTGATTATAAAGATCCTGGAGTATTAGATACTCTGTAAAGTCTTGATGGTTCTTTCACATTCTTTGAAAATGATAATTGCTTGAAAGGAATCAACTAGAGTTATGTTTCACAACGGCCTGAAGTGGTCAACACAGAAACTTAGGGATTAGTCGATCAAGTGGGAGAATGTAAGAAAAATCTTGTCTTAGTCCACAAAAGGTGATCTTCTAATCCTAAGAGGATTCGGTTTTCTTAGTTGATCAGGAAGCAAAACCTAGTCTCATATCTAAACACTTATACAGAGTTTATTAAAGAAAACAAGTGTGAAGAGGATTCCTAATATAATATGGATTGAAACAAACCTAATCTAAATGCAACAAGGACACACAATTACTTCTTGATAGGCAAGGTATCGATGTGATGCATCTATAAATAGAGGTCCCTTCCCTTGCAGCAAATACTCTCACATACAGACCTTACCCTATCTAAGAGACAAGAGAATAAAGGCTGCATAGGTGAAGAAGACACTCTATTCGATTATCATGGCTGAACATGGTTAGTATTGTTAAATAAAAGCTTAGTAAAGACTTACAATGAGTTCATGGCATCATCGCATATGCAAATTTATTTATTTGGTTTGATTGCATAATTTATATATCTTGTGTTGTTTGATGCATGACACTTTGATTAACTGTGATAGTTGACCTTGAGGGGTTTGATGGTACTCTACTGGGCATTAGAATGCTCATACCCTAATAGATTGTGCAGGATTCAAGACGAAGTTTGAGGAATCGGGTTTCAACTAAGCTACTAGGCTTTTGTTGTTTATTTGTGTAATTAATGTTTGTAAGTAGTCAAACACTTGATAAAGATCTTAGTGTGTATTTAAGTACGAGTTACTGGGACTCTGATTTTGTGATGTTAAGTAAATTTGTATTATTTATGGCTCTATTTCTCATCATATCATGGTTGTAGGATTTTATTCTTATAACTATGGTATGATTCACACCATGATTCGGGAATATTCCTTATTTTCGAATCGGGTCGTGACACCTCCTGTTTCTTGGAAGGAGGTTTGCACCCCTAAAGAAATGGGAGGCCTTGGTGTGAGGCTGGTTTCCCATTTTAATAAAGCTGATTTAGCTAAACTTGGATGGATTTGTCTTACTAATAACTCCAATTGGTGGGCTCAAATTGTTAGAAGAAAATATTTACCGAGAGAGAGTTTTTTAGCTCTCAAAAAGAAGCATTCTCAGTCCTTTGCTTGGCAAGCAATTTTAGATGCTAGAAATGTTCTCAATATGGGAATCAGGTGGATAGTGGGAAATGGTAAGTCCATTCCTTTTTGGACTACCCATAGGGTTTTTCCTTTCCCACTTATTGATCTGATTCCCATGACCCAAAGAAGCACTCTTAATCTTAGTTTAATTGTTTATGATTTTTTAACTGAACAACAGTGGAATACAAGTAAGCTCCAAGAAATTATTGATGAGGATATTATAGACAAAATTATTTCTATCCCTCTTTCATTATCCCCTTTGGAGGATTAATTAATTTGGGGTCCTAACCCTAATGGAAGCTTCTCCAATAAAAGTGCTTATAATGTGCAGATGCAAGAAGCTAATCATCTTCCTCAAGCAGCTCCTTTAAAGAAAATGTGGGGCCTCACGGTTCCTCCTAAGGTCAAAATTTTCTCTTGGTTACTCATAAGCAAAAGACTTCAAGTCCGAAGTCATTTACATCGCTTCCTTCCCCAGATTAATCATGAGTGTCCTTTTTGTAATGCCCATAGGGAAACTATTTCTCATCTCTTTGCAACATGTCAAGTTGCTCAAAGTGTTTGGAGCTGTACTAGCTCAGCAACTGGGATCACTTCTTCAAATTTTGACTTCCTCACCTGGTTAGGCTCGCTACCTTCTACTCCCAACTCTAGAAGCCCTGATAGTCTTTCCAAAGCTGTTATGTTGTGCTGGTAGATTTGGGAAGCAAGGAATAACCTAATCTTTAAAGATATCAAGCCTCATCTTGTTCATGTTCTTAATGTCGCGGGGCAGATTGGTTTAGACTACTGCCAGCAGAATTGCAAGAATGTGGAGAGGCTGCATATTAAGTGGAAACCCCCCCCCCCGAGAATACCATTTCTGTTGCGGAGTGTATTGCTTTGCGTGATGGCCTTGCCTCTGCGGCTCATAGAGGATGACGTAAAATTCTTGCTAAAGGAGATTCTAAACTTATCATTGACTGCGTTAATAGGAAAGATGTGGCCCCGTGGAGTATCAACCTCTTAATTAAAGATATTACGCTTATCAGCTCCTTCTGTGACTCCTGCTCTTTTAGTCATGTTTTCCATGAGGCAAATTTTACAGCCAATGCTGTTGCTAGTTTGAGTTATGGGCTAAATCCTTCCAAGCTTTGGGAGGCGGGGTTGCCTCTGAACTGTTCGATTCCTTTCTTTTTTGACATGTTGGGGCCTGCGTGTCCTCGTGGTTTTTGTTTGTAGCTCTTCTTTCTCTTATAAAATAAAATTTTAAATTTTAAAAAATTAAAAATTTAAAAATTTAAAAAAAAGTACAGTAACGCATACGGAGTGAGAATTACATGAGAGATCAAGGACCCTTTAATTAAATATTCCAGTTCCTTTCTTTGAGAACCCTTTACTCAAAGGACAATGCTTGGCTCTTGATATATCAGGAGCCATTCCTCCTCAACCATGACGTGGGCTCCTTAAAAAACCAACACGTGTGTGTGTGTGTGTGTGTGTGTTTTTTTTGAATTTGCAGCCAGAATAGAAGTGATGGAGAAATGAGAGAGGGAGATAGAAGAAGAAATAAAGTCGGTGGGCTGCCTTATCGATTCAGTGGCAAGGTTGGTGTGAGGGTAGATTCGGAATAGGGGTGGCGGTGGCTTTGGGGAGGCTACAGTTAAAACTAGCCAAAAGGTTGGGTTAAAAGCATTAGGGGAAGAGGAAATAGGGGAAAAAAAAGAAGAGATTTTCTATTTAAACCCCGCACTTCTCTTTGTTCACCCCAATACTTAAATCATTAAGCTGTAAGTTTTATTATTGTGTAAAAAGACAAAAAAGGCTATCCAACTTAATATTTAACCCTAGTACATCTATAAACACACCCCACCCCACACACCCCACCACTCTTATATTAAGTTTTAGAAAAATACAAAACTCCTCTACATCGTATTGCCAGATTACTGTTCTCCCTAAGATCAACACAATTTCCTCCTTCCACATGGGCAGCTCCTCTACCTCCCAACTTCATACTTGTTGCCACCACTCGATACCACATTTTTGAATTGTCCAAAATTACTGGTACAGTGCCTGATATGAGGTCTATATCATACAAAGAGTCCATGGAACAGGAGTTTGCTGTCCACCTAACAAACGAAAGGAAGTCCATTTTGATTGTGTACCATGCACATTCTAATCAACAAAAATGTATATACAAATAGATTATAAAGTAGGGAAGTTGGCATAGTTTTGCTAACACGTAGCAGTAAAGCTATCCCAGCCAAAAAGCGTTCTCTTGAAACCCAATTAAGAAGTACAAACTTACCTTTCTTCTGAAATTGCATTATGTGAGTAATGAAGGATCTCTTTATTATTGTGTATTGTGCATTATGTGAGTGATGAAGGATCTCTTTATTATTGTGTATTGGCATTACAAAAGTTCTCATGCGAAGAACATACTTCTTCCTCTGAGGGTAGCTTGCGGGGTTTAAATAGAAAATTTCTTTTATTTCTTATTTTTTTAGCTTGTGGTGTATTTAAGGGTAGTTTGGGAAGATAGTGGGGTTTTCTTAGAAATTGTGAAAATTTAAATTAAAAGTTGGGGTGAACTTAGAACATGGGGTGAACTAAGAGAAGTGTGGGGTTTAAATAGAAAATCTTAAAAAAAAAAACACACATGTTGGTTTTTTAAGGAGCCCACGTTATGATTGAAGAGGAATGACTCTTGATATATCAGGAGCCAAGCATTGTCCTTAATGAAATCAACCTCTAATGGATATTATGATATATAACAACTTGGAAAATTTTCCAATAAAATAATCATGATAAAGTACTTTACTATTATTTTTTCTATACGAAATAGGAAACTTTCCAATAAAAAATATTAAATAAATAAAACCCTAGAATAATGCATGTGCTCATACGTGTAAAAAATTCACACAATCATTAAATCAAAAACATTCATTCTAAGCCAAACAAAGTTGAAATTGCAAGCACCAAATCGAGGAACAACATAAGCATATATATACGTAGGTCTGCATAGTTCTTATAACATCAAGCCATAAGTCTTTTAAAGAAACTAAGATTTGATTGCCTTCATTAGAATTTCTGGAGAAACTCCCAAATCCTTCTTAATGGGTACTGCAAGCTCCAACCCTACAATTAGAAAATTAAACAAGTAGTTAGCTATAACAGCCTTTTTTTTATTAAAAAAAAAATAATTTTATTCATAAGTTATCTCAACACATACTCATTGACGAGGTGGGGTCAAAAGTCAAAAGAAAAAAAGAAAAAAAAGAAATCATTTTATTCAAAAGTCATCTCAACACATACTCATTGACGAGGTGGGGTTAAAAGTCATCTCAACATAAACTTGCTTATTTTAGTGATGTTATGGTCAAACCCACCAAGTCCATCTCAAAACAAACTCGAAATTACAACTTGAAACACATGCTAATAAAATGGCACAGAGATACGTACAAGGAAGCTAAGCACAAGCTTATGCATATATACATACAGTTCTCAAATATCAGCTAAACCCAAAAAAGCGCAGAGATAAATTATAGACTACTTTTTTTTTCAGTCGGAATCAAATTTTATTAGATAGAAGGCAATAGCCAATTACAACAAAGTGAACTCCACAAAGGAATTCGACGAACTGCAACACAAGGCATAAGACCTACTACATCATAAAACTTAAGGAGGACATAAAGCCCAGAAAAGCAAAGTGCACACAAAAGGCAATGA